ATTATCCTAATTATATTTTAGATTTTTTAGATTTTAAAATAAGATGTTTATCCTTTATTTAATTATGTTTATCTGCAGTTAGTTACACGAATTCAAACATGGAGTTTTAATAAATTGTACTTTATGCATAATTTTTTTCTTATAAAAATAATAATTAATTACTTTGCTAGAATTTGATAATTATCCTAATTATATTTTAAAAAAATTTAGATTTTAAAATGAGATGTTTATTCTCTATTTGAATATGTTTATTCGTAGTTAGTTACACAAATTTAAACATGGAGTTTTAATAAGTTGTACTTATGCATAATTTACTTGTAATCTTAAATTTTAAGTAATATACTAATATATGCAGTACTTCATGCATAAAAAATGGTTTTTAAGAGTTTTTGTCAAATGCTTTATAATATAGTATAGATATCTGAATTCGTGTAACTAACTGCAGATAAACATAATCAAATATAAGATAAACATCTCATTTTAAATATAAAAAATCTAAAATATAATTATGATAATCATTGAGTTCTAACATAATACTTAATTATTATCTTTATAAAATGTTATATTATTAAACCAAAAATAAATTATTTCATTATTAAACTTAAATTAAATTACAATAAAAAAATAATTTAAAGAAATTACATAAAAAGTAATAACTTTTAAATAGTTGATTTGATATTAACATTGATATATATTTTTTTCAAATTTTTATGATATATTCAAAATTATATTTATTCAAAAATAAAATCATTATTGCTTTCTTAAAAACACATAAAATTGTATTATAATATGACAAAGACAAAGAATAACATAGAATATTAAAATCAAGATGTATCTCGTTGCATTGCACGAGTACCCTTCTAATAATAAATAAAGATAAAAACCTTAAATCTAGAATTCACTCGTTAATTAATTTAATTAAAAAAAAACTATGGTGGGCCAATAGAGCTTTAAGTGATGGCCCACTTATATTCGGCCCAATCTGATTTGCATTTAACTCAGCTAATGAATATATGCCCACGTGTTGGGCTTAATGCCTAAGGCCCACTATATATGGCCCACTCTAATAAATATAGATAATCATTTAATTTTTCACTAAAAAAAACCTAAAATATTATATCAAAATTGCAATGAATTTAGGCTTGAGTTATTGCATAAATTTTGGTAAAAAATTGATTACTGATAATTTTAATCGGTTACATATGAAACTGGTGTTCAAAGACATTAACGCGATGCGACAATTTTTAGCTCACTTAGCGGTCGAGACTAGCAATCGTTTTTTATTTATTTCACAATAACTCGGGATTTAATCTCAGCCCAATCATTCCGGATAACGCTTGCATCCTCTGTATTACCGCGATTTTGATAACCATACCAGTTAGGGGTGCTCAAAAACCCGATGAACCCGACCAACCCAACCCGATTTTTTTTAAAAAAAACTCAACCCGAGGTAACCCGATGCATGATCGATAAAAAAAAAATAGCCAACCCGACCTTATTGGGTTGGAATCGGGTCAGGCTTAAAAAAACGGGATTAACCCGACAACCCGATGAACCCGACCTTAACTTTAGTTTTGAATTGTAGATGACAATCATGACATAACCAACCTCAACGTCAAGAAAGCGAAAGCATCGGGGTTGGAAACATCTAAAACTATTGTTGTTGATTGATGTATTATCATTTGGTTTAAACATTTTTATTGTAATATCTAAATATTTGATGAACTTGCATATTATCTTGAATGGTCGGTCGTATTTCAAAGGAAAGTTTCATTTATTTTTATGTGATTTTACATTGTTTAAACACAACCCGATCAACCCGAACGGGTTGGGTTGAAAATTTTCAAACCGCCAACATTGGGTTGGGTTGTTAAAACGGCTCCAAACCGATCAACCCGGGCCGTAAGAACCCCTAATACCAGTGATTTGAAAATCTCTCTAAAATCCTATGTCAGTTTCGGATACATGTACCCTTTTATTTTGTATTTCAGCAAAGTCGGTTTATCCATTTATCAACTAAACTACACGGCAGAAACTAAATCATTGTTTAAATATTAAGTCCTTTTTCAACAACTCTAATAAAAGAGGTCTTACTTTCCTTTGTACACATTTTGATCGGTAACTAAGGGGCCGTTTACCAAACACTTACTTGGTAAGCGATTACCGGTAAAATTTAACACTATCATTTACTTACCAGGTAAGATTCTAGTTCACAAAATGGCATCGTATGCAACAACTTACCTCTCGCCCCTCTCAAGCATCATCGACTTACCCTCTTCTTCCCGTCTCCATGGCAACAACACAATCTGCTTCTGCAACCCTATTACCGGCGGCCAACAGATCTACGAGTTCCTTCTTCATCTCTCGTGAACCCTAGCCCTAGGGTATCACCTCCAAACACTAATCATAGGGCGACCATCTGCTTTGCAAATAGCCCGAAGTCACCGCATTTGAACCTCCGTGGTAACAAGAGAATTTTTATTCCTCATTGGATTTGAATCTGAGACCTCCTAGTACTTTATTATCATTACCAATCTCATTTTCATTTCTTGAAATGAACCAAACGCCTCCTTAGTTACATTGGCTGATATACAAAATTGACATTTAAGTGAAACAAAAAATGAAATTAATTAAATCATTCCTCTATTTATTATTTGATAAACTCTTAGTTTGAGTGTTATTTACATTTTATCAGTGGGTCTTTTATTTCGTTTTTATGTGTTCGTATTTTCCCTTTTTTATTTATTTATTTTTATTTTTAAAAATATTTAATATTATTCGGATACACTTTATCTAATTAGGTCAATCAAATATACTTAAAAAATACGTTTTATTGTAGTTTTATAATTGATTTTCAATTCAAATACACTTAAAAAAATAGGTTTTTTTTGTAAATTTGTAATTTGATTTTCAATCAAATACACTTAGAAAGCTAGAAATATATTTAAAAACACATTTTTTTAAAGAATCAGGCCGGGCCCTGGCCAAGCCTATAACCAGTCCCAAGCCGGTTCCAGGCTGGGCCAGACTTATTTGGTCATCTCTACTTGTAAGTTTAAGCAATTACCTTTATCATAATTTGCTTATAGTTGATAATGACTTAATGATATAAAAAGTGGTTTATTATGTAAGCTTTTAGAAAGCTTTATGCAGAAAGCTAAAATTTTCCAAACTCACCCCTCCTAATTAAAAAACACATTTCTTTCATCTATGAAAAATCCCTTCTAAACAAAAGTCTTCTCAATCTATACAGACAAATTAATCCACAGAGACAACTTTATTAATACAAGACTTAATGGAAAACCAATCAAACCACCCCTAACTGCATTATCTACAAAATCATAAGTCTCATCATATATATTTGAATTATATGAAATATTATATTGGTCCACAGTAGAAATCATCAACACCCGATGAAATCAAACCAAATACGTCTATATGATATGAATGATCGTTGTTAAACCAACCCCGGCTAAACGGGTTCCTACTACTTCCGTTTAAAAGCATTATTCAACGATACGTAAGTCGAGTGACCTCCTTGCTCTGCAACCATCAGATCAAGCTACCAAATGAAAGACAACTAGCGTTCTCAAAATTTGACTAAAAGGTTGTTTACTACATGTTACTGGAAAAGAGGTGCTTACATGAATATAAATGTTATTGTTTATCAATCCCCTTTTACTGGTCCATCATGATGGCCTGACCTGGTAAGCTAAGGGAGGGACTCTTTGACTTTTTTTTTTACTAGAAGAGTAAATGCAGTAAAACACATCTCGATTTTAATGTTCTATTTTATTATTTTGTCTCTGTCGATGTTATAATACGATTTTATATGTTTTTAAGAAAGCAATAATGGTTTTATTTTTGAATAAAATATAAATTTGAAAATATCATAAAAACTTAAAAAAAAAATATCAATGTTAATATCAAATTAACTATTTAAAAGTTCTCATTTTCTTATGTAATTTCTTTAATTTATTTTTTTATTATAATTTAATTTAAGTATAATAAAATTTTCATTTAATAATATAACATTTTTAAATATTCTATTAAAACTCAATGATTATCCTAATTATATTTTAGATTTTTTATATTTAAAATAAGATGTTTATTATGTATTTGATTATGTTTATCTGCAGTTAGTTACACGAATTTAGATATGGAGCTTTAATAAGTTATACTTACACACAATCTACTTGCAATCATGAGTTTTAAGTAATATGCATTAATAAACAGTATTTTACGCATAAAAATTGGTTTTTAAGAGTTTTTGTCAAATGTTTTATAATATAGTATAGATTAACCTGGATATCCAACCCACTATGCGAAACGACTAATCTCAGAGCGACTACCTCCTTTGCAGATAGCCCGGAGTCATCGCATTTGAACATCCGTGGCCACAAGGGGATTTTTATTCCTCCTTAGATTTGAACTTGAGACCTCAAGATACTTTTGACCTTTGAATCCAAACTCATACCAATCAGGCACCACCCTTGTGGTCGACTCTTGATCCAACCTGTACAAGGGCCATTCACCCAAGCGCTTACCGAGTAAGCGTCAACATTCTAATTTACTTTACCAGATTGTAGTCAATCAGAATGGTACTGCATGCAACAATTTACCCGGTAAACGCTTACTGGGTAAGACTCTACATCCTTACAATTTACCAGGTAAGATTCTCGGCCCTTGCCAAATTCTTTTGATAAGCACTTACCGGGTAAGCGGTTAATAAATGGCCCCTTACTTGGTCAGAGATGCAAATGTTTATCAAATCCCTCTTACTGGTCCAGTTATTAGATGAGCGATTAGTGCCGACTCAGACTGCAATCTTGTCCGGTTAGCTTTTACCCAATTTGTGTTGGTGAACAACCCCTAAATGCAACTAGACAAGATGGTACAAACCACCCGGAGCTTTTGGTGCCACAAACCAAACCAACCCAACCAAGATCCGGTTCGACTTCGGGTCGACTCAAAAGACCCCAATAGAAGTTGTTGAGGTTGGGCTAGAGGTGATATTGAACATAAAATAGCCCAATTACAGTAGTAACAATGCAGCAAAACATTTGCATACAATCCATAAAAACCCTAAAAAAAACCTGCAGGATTCCTACAACTTATCACCACTAAACAGATTTCCCTTCCCCCCCATGGATTCAAAGCTTGTTTTCTCACAAGCTAGGCTCAAATGTTTCTTTTTTTTTTCCTCCAAAAACCTTCTTGTACATGTTGGGAAGGGTAAAACGGTAAATTTACTTGATGGTAATGTAGCGATTCGTACCGTGTTTTGCCCAGTAGTTTTTTAGGTCAACAGGGTCGGAGAGATCGTGGCCTTGTGCCGCCAGCCGACTAAGCAATCTGGTGAAAACCGTTCCGCTCATTTTCCGGCCACCCATTCTTGAATGGCGTTTGTTGGGCATCTGAGGGAGAGGATAAACCGACAAGGTGGTGGTGCAGCACGACGACTGCCACCCACCGCTGCCCCATTTGTAGCACTGCCGTGCCACACCGGTGCATGAGCAAATCGGAATCGGCATTGTTGACTCGTCGAAATTGATCTGGTCCATTAATCCGAGCTCTTGAGCGTCCCATTCAGCTTTTGAACCATCCGTGGTTACATTCCTGTTCAAATCCTCCCCTACTTTCTTCTGTTTCTTAGCCGATCTCGACGAACCACCACCGCCACGAGGCTTGTTCTCCTTTATCATCTTTGATTTGTTAACAGGTTCACCTGGAACGGCGGTTATTGGGAATGCTTCGGTTACATGAGGGTCCCGCCCATATGACGGTTGTGCAGGGTGGTGTTGGTGGTTATTGGAGTGGTGGGCCCGCTTGGATCCTCCTCGTTGGAACTGGGTGTTCATGGTGGTTTCTTGGAAACGCAAGGCGGCAATGGCGTTATCTCTTTCCCTTATCGCATCGTTTCTATCAGCTATTGCTGTATCTCGCTGCTGGATTGCTATGTCACGTTCCTCCAATGCTGTTTTCTTCTCGGATAACGCCCGGTCCCGCTCTTCTATAGCGGTATCTCTTTCGGTCAAGATGTGGGCGATTTTCCTATTCATCATCATGGCAGCTTGATCCTTCATTTGGTATTGAGGCATCATATTCCACTAAAATAACACAAACACATTAAATGCAAATTACTTTACTACCCTTCTGCCAAAGCCGCAACTAGTATCTTCATGCAATTGATGTTACTATGTTAGTCCACATAGTTCCTCCTATTAGAGGGCATTTTAGACATTTGGCTAATACAAACAATTCTACAAAGGGCAAAATGCATCAAAATGCAACAAATTTTAATTTTTTTCTCAATTGATACGACAGGTTCCATTCTTATTCTGTTCACATTTTCATCGGTAACTTCCCGGTCTTATAACATATGACGAATAGATACCCATTTATGAATAATTTATGAAAGGGTTACAGCAAAGTGGACGATAAACTTGACATCCACATCATCAAATGTTACAAAATGGAAAATTTTGAAACTTCGTTTCATTTAATATTGTTTTTGACGATTTGTTACACTAATTGAGAAAAAAACTATTTTTATATTAAATACGAACCAAAGCAAACTTTGTTGCGTTTTGATGCATTCTGGCCTCCTATAAAACTATTTGTCTAGTTAAATGTTGCAATTCTTATGGGAAGGAAAAGCAATCAAGATAAAAAATTATTACCTGAGGATGAACTCCTTTGTAGTAATCTATCCTATGCCGCCCGTTCTCACGATGCACGCCATCATCCATCCTGGCTCCTGCTTAGCGGGAGTGAAGGTAGATTGATTCCGAAGCTGTTTCTTAATGTAGTAAAATCTGATACAACGATACGATCATCTTGCTCTGTATCATGAAAACCAATAATCAGATCCTAAATCATTTACATACAGATGAATGGAGATTTAGAACGTATATGAATATATACATAGAGAGAGAGAGAGATTCGGGTTCATACGAAAATATTAACTAAATAAGAGGACAGAAAACGGCCAAATCACATGTGATTTTACACTACATGTTATTTACACGACTTTGGCCACGACAAGGTCATGGGCCAGTTTGCCCACTCACCCTTGTGTTGATTGTGTTCCATAATCGCGTGCAAGCTTGAGACTATACCAGGCTCAGGCACAGGACACATAGACGGTTCAACTTTGCTTGGCACATGCTTACTATAGGCTTGGGCTTTCCAAGCTATTTGATGAGTCGGCACACAAGCTCTACAAATTTTATCTTTTGACGTTTCCTCAACCGAAGGAACTCATGAACTAGAATATGAAATAATATAAAAACAGAAAACGAATAAAGGAAGTAGATTGACCATGCATATCAAGACTCAAGACCGAAGAAATGTCTTGGCAAATAAACAAGCAGTTTTTTATTTCCTTTTATCAATTGTAGTTAATTTGTCATGTTTTTGCATTTTAAGTAGTAGCATGCTTTTATCAAAAGTTGAATTGTTATTGGAGATTTGTACAGTTCAATAACATGTGTGTGACTAGTTGTAAAGTACAAGATGTTTGTAAAAACATGTACTTAATCATTATTAAACAGTGCATATCAGCATATGTTAGGCTTCGAAAACTTATGTGGTACAAGCACAAGTGTATTATATATTTGTAAGATTACAAGCTGTCACGAACGAAAACAAAACTTTTGTTGGAAAATTTATCCAAGAGAAGTGTTGAAAAAAAGAACTAAAGTTAAACAGATAGGACTGAATCATGATCCATTTAGTTGTCTAATTTATTAGATATCGGATCATAGCAGAGCATTAGGTGATTTGATCTGATCTGATCTGATCACGTAGAGTTTCAAATGGTCCATCAGAGGCTCGGCAGCTTGATTTGGCAGTTCAAGAAGTAGACAAACCAATTTTCACACTAACGAAGGGACCATGACATGAAAACTAGAAAAGGTAAAAATATTGTTCAACCGGATCGGCAGTATGAGGTAAACAACGTCTATGGCAGAGACCATATGAGGGAGCTATGCTTTTATTGAACAAGCCTAAGCAATGACTAATTACCACCTATGATCCACAAAAAGTGAATCAGACATTTTACAACTACAATCCCAGATGCAGTAGGCTTGATCACTCATCATTACCTCGATCAAAATACACAAATGTGACGCGGATATAAAACACATGCAACACCAAGCATCATGGGTGCTAGCCCATAATTGCAGTCACAAATGCTGCAAACAATGACTGTCATGGCCTATCATTCGAAACCACAAAAGCGGTTCAAATAGAGAACTTGTGCAACACCCATCACAGCAATTATCACAAATGAAGCAATGAGTTAAACCACAAAACTCCCTCCCTTCCACCAAAATCTGTTCAACACCCAACATCACAACTACTACTTCCTAACTTCAATCCATAAATGCAGAAGCAAGTTAAACTACACAAATCCGTCCCTTCTTACCAGCAATTGCAAAGTGTAAAGATATACGTAATTATGGGTATAAAGAGAGTCCAGACATGTGTATCACTAATTTCTGGTGCACGAATAGGTTAGGTGTCTTGTCCTACGCTAAGGGCCTGTTTATTAGCAGCTTAATGAGCTTAATGGGACTCCCAGCTTATTCGGTCAGCTATACATGACATTTTGATAGTGGCTTCATAATATAGAAAGCGGCTTATTCAGTAAGCTTCCAGGGGGAGCTTTATGCAGAAAGCCAAGTTTTTTCCAAAGCTGCCCCTCCCAATTAAAAAACAACTCCTATCTATGAAAAACCCTCCAAACAAAAACCTTCACAATATTGTGAAAGATAGATTAATTCACATAGACAATTTTATCCATTCAGAACTTAATGAAAAACCAACCAAACAGCCCCTAAGGCTATCTATGTTGCTAAATAAAGCAGCTGCTCGTTCTTGTTCCAACTTACAAAAATCATATCCTTCTACGAGACTCCATCCAACCAAATCCTAATACTGAAGAACTTACCATCTCGAAACCTTTATGCATGAGCTAAAACGTAACACCCACAAAAATATGTAGGGTTGGATGATCTATTGGCTACAAATATCACATAAAAAACCAAAAAGAAACAACATTCAAGATTCAGAAAGAAAACCCCCAGATTAAGGAATGACGTATATGCGCCAACTGAAGATCCAAGTCTAGCTAGGTTCCAACAAAATGGGCATACCCTAAGTCAAAATAGTAATAAATAACAATACCAATGCACAGATTACTTAATTCAGAAATAAATTCTCTAGAAGCAACCACACAAAAAACTGGCAAAACGGTAATATAGATCATTAAGCACAAGAAAATCCAAGAATAGTTTGACACCGTTCTAGTATACAAGTACATAAATTCTTCATTTCAGTTGGTAAATTTCAAGAATAGATCAATAACAGTGTTCCGATGGAAATTTTTAGGGATTTTTCAGAGATCCAAAACGTTACTAATTAAGCTCATGCTACTTCCATTAGAGATGTCTGTACAACAAAACAAAAAATTAACAGTAAAACCTTGATATACAAAAGAGATAACCTACAGATGATGACGATTGACGATGATGCAGCTATCAAAGGGCCACCGTGAAGGTATATCGCCGCCAGGTGAAAAGCCCTACTTTCTCTTTATCGAATCAAAACCAGTTTGAGAGAGAGAGAGAGAGAGAGAGAGGAACCCAGACCTTTCTAAGATTTTGCTCCAATATTTTAGTGGCGATATCTTATTTATTATTTTCGAAACTAAAAAATCAGTTTTTGAAAAATAAAAACAAATAAAAATAAAAATTAAATTTTACAAATAACTTTTAACATCGGTTTAAATAAAAAGGTTAAATACTGTAAAAAGATATGATATGTGAATCATTGACAAAATCTGAAGAAGAAAATCTATTTAAATATGTATATGTGAAACGATGTTACAGATTATTAATAAGGGTTTATATATGTGTATTCAAATGAATTTTTCCATTGATTCACATAGAGATGGCCAAAAAAACCGAAACCGAAGACCGAAACTTTTGGGTCGGATTACGGGACATCTTAACGGGGACGGGGCAGAGATTGGAGATTTTAACGGGGGCGGGGACAGTGATCACTGGCCCGCCCCAATAGGTATTAATCTTAATCTATATATGGGGGGGAGGTTTAAAAGAAACCTTTGTGATTTACGAGAATACGAGTACAATCTAATCACCTACTCTAGTCTTAAAGCAACTAAAAGTATAATAAAATAAATACTTAGAGTTTTACTGTAACTAAATTAGCCAACAAGTTTCCAACTAATTACAAAATAAACAGTTGTCCAAACATAAGATGTCTTTCAAAAGTCAGCTATGATCATGTCAGTCAGCACCATGTCCTTTCTCTTCTATTTCTCCACCATCAGGTCATGTTGCAGTATTCTCGCAGCATCAAACTGTCCAAAATAAATCCATATTAGTCCATTATATAACAAAAACAGGTAAGTCATTCATCTTAGCTTCATAACAGAGAAATGGAAAATATAGGAATAAAATGACTCAATGGAATATAAATAGAAAATGTCATATCTAAAAGAGAAGAAAATATTGTTCAAGCATTAAATAATTAGTGCGTATCAATTATTGAACAAATTAGATTTTGAATCATATGGGACGTACGAAGCTTGTTTAATAGGAAAGATGACAAAGGCTCCGTTTTGTTGGACAAAGTGAGAGAACAAATGATGTATTGGGAATCATACATAGTGATGTATGTGGTCCGATGAACATACAAGCTAGAAGGTGGTTATAGATACTTCATTACATTTACTGATGATCTCAGTAGATTCGGCTATGTATATTTGATGCGACATAAGTCCGAGTCCTTTGAGATGTTCAAAGACTGTCAAAATGAAGTACAAAACCAACTTGGAAAGAATATTAAGATTCTTCGATCTGATTCTCATGTTCAATCTGGACATCAAGTACAAAAGAATTAAATGTGTAAAACTAAAATTGACTACAAACCGATAATTTGTTATATCACAAATTCTCGTCATTTGGGTAATGGTGATGTATTGCTAGATACCGCTCATCGTTTGTAACTATAAATATAAGATTTATATTTATTACCAACATGTCGATAACCCATTGGGTCACACGCTTTGAACATATTCGAATAAGGAGTTTCGATAATTAAAATGTTTCATTTTCATATCTGATTTGTATCGAGTTAATCTGATTAAATAAAATCAGATATTATTTATGTTGGACATAATTAAAGATGACTAGAGATGGGCTTTGTAAGAGAGTGATGATGTATGAGAGTCTTACACTCAAGCATGGTGATAGTTAGGCCATACCTCTCACATCCATATAAAATGTATGACATTTTTATGATAGTAGTTTTAGTCTTGCAATTCGCTCTCAAAATCACCTACAACAATATGCTTCATTTTCTTTCAAAGTCTTGAAACCGTGACTAGCATCACAAGAAGGCAAAGGATTCGGATTATTCGCGTGGATACCGTGGAGGCATCAAGCTTTGGTTGTTGTTGTGATTCAAAATTTCACTAACTGCAAGGTATAATTTCGAAACACCCGATTTATTCCGGTTCGTATGGGTCCTTGGAGGGTTACGATTTTATTTTTCGCTATGCTTGAGATCCTGTAACCCAACAGGATGTAGGAGATGCTTATACGACAGATGCAACAGACGTTTTAGCCAGTGGATGGAGAGAGAAGGGTTATTGAATATGTTAATGCTCAATTGGTTCGATGATTTTTATTTTTTGTTTTATGTGAATATGTTGCGGCTCAATTAATTTGATAGTTGTTCAACTATTTTTTCAATTTTCATTAATAAAAAACATAAAAAAAACAACACATAAAATGCTCGACGCAACCCACAGAGCATCATTCATTATCTTCAATCCAAGTTTACTACATACGTTAAGCATTATCGAGCAAAACAGATCTAAAAAAACTCGGAAAATCCATTAAGAACACAAAATTAATAAAAATCGAAATTATACAATCGGTTAGTTGCTTTATGCCCAAATCCCATTTGAGATCCGTCAAGACACTGCTTGATTGAAGGTCCACAATTATGCGAATCGAATGACTTGTTTTTCATAATTATGGGTGTTCGAGTCTGTTTGCACACACCTCGACTAATCTCTTAAAATCCTGAAGAATAACTAATTGTATCTGATTCAGCTTGTACACGCCTCGATTGAACCCAAAGGATAATGGAGAACAACCACGGAAATCCCCCATTTGCATACCCCAATTGTAGAATTTCTACAAAGCAATCATAAATGGACACTTCTCTAGTTGGGTTGGGTTCAGTGAAAAGGAGAGTTAAGGTGAGAAGTATAAGAAGAGATCTTCACCCTTGGATGTATATTAAGATGAGATGTACCTGATCAATCCGTGTATCAAACGCGATTCACGGATGGGTTTGAGATTAAAATTGATCAAATGTCCAGATTTCTTTTACACTTCTCTCATCTTTAACTCTCTTTCTGACAGTATTCCTCGTCTCTCTAGTTAGGGTCAATAATTATTCCAATCAAATCCCTGTGTGCACACCATTATCATAGAACTACAAGCGGAAACTACATAAATGAAATTAACAAAATAACCATTTTTTATGTATTTATCAAAATAGACAGTATTTTCGTCAATTGACGAATTTCTAAGTTTGTTATAAAACGGGTCCCTATATCATTAAAAAAAAAAAAAAGTCATGCAATTTGGTAAAAACAAAGGGTTTAAATGGGTCCCCATATCATAAAAAGTCAAAAAAAAGTCATGCATTTCGCTAAAAACAAGGGATTTTGGTAAAATACCGGAGATTTCATAACTTTTTATGACATGTGGGACCTATTTTATGACAGAGAAAATTGCATCAAAATGAAACCAACTTTCACCTGATTCCTATTTTGAGAAACCAACTTTCAAAATTGTCATTTAAGGGTCTCTATCAAACTTTTTATTTATTTAAGGGTCTGGTTGACCTGTTAATGCTGACATTATCCAGATTTTTTGCCAACTAAGATATTCCACGTCATATTAATTTTTTTATTTTAAAACTAATATTCCACATCATATTTATAATTGCAAAATGAATATAGAAAAATAACTAAAATTCGTTTTTTTTTTCAAAAATTATTGTAATAAAATCTATTTTTCATTCCAAATCTCGTTTTTTTTTAAGTTCAGATATCAAATTGAAGATTTTTTCAAAAATGGACTTCTTTACTCACAATTTGATATTTGGTTTAAAAAAAACGAGAATTGGAATGAAAAATAAATTTTATTACAATAATTTTTGAAAAAAAAAACGAATTTTAGTTATTTTTCTATAATTATTTTGCAATTTTAAATATGACGTGCAATATTAGTTTTAAAATAAAAAATTAATATGACGTGGAATATTAGTTTTAAAATAAAAAATTAATATGACATTGAATATTAGTTTTAGGGAAAAGTCTAAAAAAATTCAATGGACTTTAATCATTGGATAATTTTTTGGAACAAATAAGTCCTTGGACATTCCAAAACATGCTAAATAACTCATTGAACAATTTTGTGAAACAAATAAATCATTGGACAATTTAAAATATGTTAAATAACTCATTGGACAACTTTTGGAACAAATAAGTCATTGGACAATCCAAAACATATTAAATAACTTTTTGGACTTTTCTAAAACCTGTTGGATACATTCTTATGACATGTACAACTAGTTAATGTGGTAAAATAGTGAAAAAAGTCCGAAAAAACCCAATGAACATTCATATTTTGAACGATTAAGTCCCTAATCATTTTTTGAACCAAAAAGTATTTAGATCTATAAAATTAAACAAATATAACAAAAAAGTACTTACATTTACAAAAAAAAAAATTATATTTAAAAAAGATTTTTGCTAAAATAAAATTAAAAATATATTTAGTCAGTAATTTTTCAAACTAAAAAAAATTAAAAAAAT